ATATCTTGATTCGCACATCGCATCAGGAGTTTTTCTTGTTGTAGCAACTTTAGTAACAGCCCTGGCGAATGGCCTTCTACTGCTCGCGATCTGGAAGGATCCATTTAAAACTTTCCGCACACCAAATACGTTTTTTGTGATTGGCTTAGCCGTCGCTGACTTTCTCACAGGTATTACGGCATGTCCGTTAACCGCTTTTCAGGACATTGGTCTTTACATTAGCGTAAAAAGGCGAGATTCATCGATTATTCCATCACTTCAAAAAGCAGGAGATCTTGCTCATCTCATTTCCGCAGCTACAATGAACAGCTCTTACATAATTCTGCTGTTGTTTACTTGGAGTCAATTTACAGCGATAAACTTCCCCTTCAAGCACAAAGTGCTTGTTACGAAGAGTCGAGTTATAGCAAGTGTGATCTTAACTTGGGTTTACACGGTAATGTTTGCCATTTTGTCGGCAAGCGGAGTGGCAGAAACGGCCTTCCTAAAAGTGGACTTGTACTTCCACACGACTGGAAGTCTTTTGTTACTGACGGTAGGGTACTTCTGTTTATACAGAGCATTCAAAACCCAGATGAGGAGACTGCACTCTTGGAAAGCCAACCACTTTTTGGGCAAAGGACAAGGTGTTCAAAGAAATAACAAAAGAGGGAGACAATTTACTATCGTCAATCTTTTACTGCTTACATTTGTTATCTCTTGCACCCTCCCTGTAACAGTCTTTTTCTACTTGCAGTATCGCTGGAAGGATCTAACAAGGCTTGAATTGTTAAGGGCTTCACCTTGCAGGCTTGTTCTCCGCGGATGTGTTGTTCCTTAAGTTTGCTCTTGATCCTCTCATCTACACTTGGCGGCTGGCGCAATATAGAAGAGCATTGAAGTCTTTGCTTGTCTGTAGACGGCAGAGAATTCACATCGACGGAGTGATTTCTCTTTCATTGGACAATCATACGTTAGCGTCTCGCCGGGTGAAAAAGTGTTTTAGAAGGAGTGGTGTGGAATTGGCCATGGTTTGACGTTTGGTAAATGACATCGTAAAAAGGGTAAAAAGGTGGCACCATACGTGTATTAAAATGAAAGGCCCGGCTATAGTTCAGTGATTCAGCAGGACAACTTTTTAGTGTAACAACCAAAGAAATCAAGCATATAGATGGAATTTTACAGTTTTTTTTACGGCGATTCGCCGTTTTTCCTTGACAAATCGAAGTGTTACCGGCGCTTATTCTAATTATATAAAAGAGTCTGAAATTCTCACTTCTCGGGACTGGTGTTGTACAAGGCGTTTTAATTGTACACGTAATCAGTTCTTATTTCGTAAAAAAAAATTGTAAAGGACAAGTTATAAGAACAATACCTTTTCATTGATTTCATGATTTTCATGCTTTGATCCTAGTTACTAGCGTAGTTACAATGTTTACCTGATTTTCTATTAGTTTTGTAATGAGATATCTCGGCGTCCCCACGCGGGTATAAAAGCGCGCGTCAGCGTCCTTTTGGTCAGGAAAAGTCAAGTAGGATTCGCGTCGTAACATCGTTTTTGTGGTTTGTTTTAACCTTTGGTACAAGCAGGACCGATATGTAAGTGATTTCTTTTCTTATTTCTTTGTTA